CCCTCGTGCTGGCAGGAGGCCGTTGCGGTGGGGACAGCGGCGGTGGCCCTGGCTGGCTGCCCGGCGGGGAGGGACAGGGATGGCCTCGCTGGGGGGGGGGCGCAGGCTCTGGGAGGCAGCGCGGGGCTGGGTCTCAAGCCAGCGCCTGAACGCTCCGGTTTATCCCCAGCCGGCTCCATAAAAAAGGGCTGGACCTTTTATTAGTGCTGTAAAGCCTTGTGCTGTTGCCTGCTGCGTGCCGAGGGCTGGCGTTTCCTGCTTCCCCATCGGAGCAGATGTGGGTCAGGCTCCTCCTCGGCTCCGCTGGCAGCCGGGAAGGGATGCTGAGGCTGCGCGCCGCCCGGCCGCCCTCTGCCCACGTCGTTACAGTCACAGAAATAACTTTGGCTTTGAGGTGTAACAGAAAGAGCTAATTTTAACGCTTCCAACACCCCACACGCGCATCCCCACTCGCACGCATCTGGTGCTGCGACGTGGGAAGCATTTTCTGCTTCCTGGCTCTCCGGCGTTGAGAGGCCAGGGATGGAGCAGGGCTGTCCCAAGGGCTTAAACATCAAAGACTTCAGGTACTCTTTGATTTTCCCCCAAATAGCTGGTCCCTCTGGAGCAAATTGTTGCAGGGGGGAGAGGGGGGAAGGGAGTATTTTCCTACCTTACCTTTGTCCCTCTGTCCCGCAGGTGCCAGTGTCTGAGTCCCTCTCGGTGTATGTGTGGTAACAACATGTCTGTCCCCCTCCTCGCTGATGCAGTGACTGTCTCAGGGGCAGAGCGGGAGACTGCCGCGGTAAGGGCCCGGACCCCTCCTGCCTCACCTCCTCCTTCCCTTTTAGCAGCCTTGAAGATAAGGAGCTGCTTCCCTGGGGTTCGGAGGGGCCGGGAGCTGAGCCCGTAATCCCTCAGCTCTTCAGATGTACATCTTGGTGCATCAAAGGGGGATGCAGGACCAGCGAGCTCTTGTCTTGCTGGGGAAGAGTAACCGTCCTTTCGGCTGGGCTGTTTGTTACTGGTGCTCGGCCCAGTGTGGAGGCAGTCTCACAGCTAGGCTTGACCCGCAGGGAAGTCGGTGGGAGTTGGATCTGATTTGGCTATTAAAGCTTTTAAAAGCAAATCCCCCAAAGAAAATCCTCTGTCCTTCCCTGGGGCCCCACAGGCTGCCCTCCCTCTGCTCCCTGTCGCTGAGGGGCTGCTCAAGTCTTAGATGAAAAGCCCGTAGAGATGGGTTTTGTGAGTCCTTGGCAAGCTCGGCCTCCGCTCAGCGTGGTGCCGCGCAGCCTGGCGGGACGATCCATCGCTCCCTGGCCCTCTGCTATGTGGTGCCGCGCAGCCTGGCGGGACGATCCGTCGCTCCCTGGCCCTCTGCTACGCTGGGCAGCCGAGGGGCCGACGACGCCCACGAACCTGGCTGTGACAGCAGGCTCTGTGGCATGATGATGTGCCTGTTCCACCCATCCGTCATGCTCAAAGCTGTAGAGGCGTGTCATTAGCATCGGCTAATTTCTGCCTGTTTGAGTCTCCTCTAGTTAGTGACTAAGTGGCCTTTTGCCGCCTCCCCGCGAGCTCAGCCCTGCCTCTCTCCCAGGGCACCGGCTGTCGCACCAGCTAATTCTTTTGTTTTTCTGCTTAATTTAACAGGTCATTTTTTTACATGGCCTTGGAGACACGGGGTGAGTATTCCTGGAGCCTGGCTCTGGCTGTGACGCGTGGTTTGCTGAATGCGGGCCCGGGCGTTTGCTGCGAGCGCCGGTGCTGCTCTCCCCAGGGGCAGCTCCGAGATTTGTCTGGGGCTTTGAGCTCGGTCCAATAGCCGTGCCTGCGCCACCCTCACAGGGAATCGCCGGCCAGCAGCTGTCTGCACTTGAATATTTATGATCCTGGCAGCCCCCCGCCTCCTGCGGGTTTGATTTTCTGCTTTCTTTAAGGCAAGCAGATAAGCACTGCGGTTTTTCCAGTCCTTGGGAGTTGGGTTGTGTCTACGCGAGCGCACCTCTCTAATGTGCAAGGCCGCCTTAGAGGACAGCGTGAGATACAGCAGTAACGAAAGGCTTCTCCCCGCACAGGAGATTCTCCCTCCTCCCTTGCTGATAGCAGCTCCCCTGCCTCCAGCTGCGGGGCTTTGTGTGCTGCCTTTGCCCTGCCGCAGAGGAGATCTGTGCCGGGGATTCACGTTGGGATTCAGGCTGCTGGGGTGGGCAGGACCTGGTAAAATAACGCTGGAGCAGGGGCAAGGGGCCAGCAGCCTTGGGGAAAACCTGTCCTTGGGGGAAATCCCTCACCTTCGCCAGCATCCTCCAAAATGCTAAGGCAAGCCTTGAACTCCCTCCTCTCCCTCTCTCCCCAGGCACAGCTGGGCTGACGCTCTCTCCTCCATCCGCCTCCCCTACGTGAAATATATTTGCCCTCACGCGTAAGTGCCGTCCTTGCTTCGGGAAGGGCCTTGGGGGGGGCCTGAGGGGGGCTGTGAGGCCGGTGCCCGCTGCCAAGAGTGTTT